CCTTTTGCGATGACCGCAGCCGGTACCTGGAAGAAGCCGGTTAGAAGATGCCTTTTGAGATATTTTGGCCATTAAAGGAGAGGTAAGTATTAGGGACTTTAGTTCCGCTTTAACCTCACATATTTCTAGCAAACATTTGCATTAAAACTTTAGTTTGAACATATTGCAAGACAAGATTAGCCAGATCTTCTGCACTCTGCACAGTAGCCTTCCTCTCCTATTTCAGAGACAGTTGTCCTCTCCCTTCTCAGTTAAGACCTTTGTACTGGGGGGTCTGCCATGTAGGTCCCACTGTCCCCTAATGACTCAATGAGACCTTAATCTGGTTCTCTCTGCACTGCAAAAACTGCCGTTTGAATCATTAGATACAGTCCTCTCTCTACTCTCACCCACAAAGTAAATTTTCTTGTAGCCATCATCTCTGCTAAGCGAGTATCTGAAGTTGGCAGTGTTATCTTGCAAGGAACCCTTTTTCTGGTTTTGCATAGGAAAAATGTATTAAAACCCAGGGCTTCCGTCTTGCCTAAGGTGGTTTCTACCTTTTCACCTCAACTAGGACATCATTTTTCAGTCCCTCTGTTTGGCTCCAGATCACCAGGTAAATTTTCCTCCATTGTTTGGTTTTTTCAGGTTGGGAGAGTCGCTACTTTTTTGGGAAGACCGTTTAATTTCCATCATCCTGAATTGTCATCATAAAGGGTGCATTGGCTTCTCACTCTACTCTCTCTAGGTGGCTCTGATAGTCTATCATTCAAGTTTATGGTCTCAAGGATTGGGTACCTCCTTTTTCTGTCAAGATGCACTTTTATATTGTGTGCTTCTTGGGCTTATGACACCATGCAACTGTTTCCCAGATTTACAAAACTTCCATCTGATCTTCTGTTTGTGTTGTGTAGTCTACCAGTTACATGTTCTGGTCTCATCTGATGCCATCATCAGGCAACTCTTTGAGCCATAGGCATTCTCTACTTTGTTTTTCCATTCATTCTGAGGCCTATTAGCATTTGTTTGCTATGCTGCCCACCCTTCATTTCGGCTGCTTTTGGACTCGGGAAATTGAAAGAAAATTGAATTTTCGTGCCCTCTTTAAATATTTATTTTTTGGTGTTCATTGAGAGACACAGGTCCCACCCCTCTGTGTTATGATCATGTTCTCTGTACTGTTTTGCTTCAAAACTGAGGCATGCCTGTAGTTGGAAGGATTATCTTGGGCTGGCCTGTTTTTTTTTTTTTTTTTTTCTTTGTTTTTGTTTGCTAGTGTCTAATTCTGTCAGCCGTAAAAACCCAGAGGGTCCTCCTTTTTCCTGTGTCCTTTTAGTGGACTTCAAGGAGGATTCTACAGGAAATGCAGATGTCTTATTGCTCCTAAAGCAAAAAAATTACTTCAGTTGTAAGATGTTTGTGGATTTCTTTGCCAGAATTGCCTGTCTGAAATTTCCCCACATTTCAGTGGAATTAATCAGAACTTTGAGTAGGCCAATCCATGACTCTAGATTTTTATTTATTTTTTTTTCCCTATTTTTAGCTTTTTTTTTTTATTTGTTTCAGGTCATCATTTTGTTGAAAGATCTATTTCTAGCTCAGCTTCAATTTTAGGATAGATAACCTTACATTATCATCAAGAACACTATGGTATGATGCATAATTCATGATTGTTTCAATAACTGAGCTGGCCAGGTCTTGAAGCAGTAAAGCAAGCCAAAACAATATTATTTCTACCACCATGCTTCACAGTTGGCACAAGGTTCTGCTCTTGAAATCCTGTTGATGGCTTGTGACAACTATCATATTAGGCTACGTTCACACCAGCAATTAAGGCTGGTGAAAATTTTAGTGGCAGGAATCTTCTGTTTACAGCTCTTAATGGGAGGGCTAGATGCAGATGCCGGCCCTGTTCGATATAATAACAGGTCTCCAGTGGCTGTAGCTATTCGTGGCTCTCTGCACAGCCAGCAATTTACTTGCAGTGACTGCTGCTGGGTGCACTTTGAGTGAGTCCAGCAATGATCACTGCAGGCAACCACTGGCTGTGCAGAGAGCCCTGTACAGCTGTGGCCGCCATAGACCTGTCATTATAATAAATGAGACTGGCGGCTGCACTTAGACGCTCTTATCCGCAGATGAAAAAAGATTCCTTCCACTATAATTTGCATCAGCTTTAATCGCTTACTGTGGCCAAACAGTTCACAGCACACTGTTCCAGAAAGCCTGGGCTGTCACTAAATGTTTACCTTTTGAGCAAGACTACAGTTTGTCATTATTTTTTTTTTTTTTTTGTGTGTGGACAGCAAAGTTGTTGTTTTTTCCAGTGCACCCACCATGCAGAATACATTGGTGCAATCTTTTTCTGATTGTAAATGCATGCACTTTGACACAAACTGTTGCAAGAGATAACTGTAGATCTCACTGACATTTTGTGGTTGATGGAGACTTTTAGTATTAAGTGGTTGTCTTTTGGGCTGAATTTGCTGCAGTCTTGGAATAATTAGCATTTGTTTGAAATCTGCGTCACTTGTAGATTTTTTTCCTTACAGTGGAATTATTGATTTAAGATGATATCCATTGCCCGCACTGTATGCATCGACAACCTTTTTTTCCTGAGATCCTCAGACCATAGATATCCAGGGTTTAAATAAGACAGGCTTTACCTGCATACTTCTAAGGAAGTTTTAATCATTAGCACCTAATCTGGTACAACTAATTCTAATTTCATGGATTTAAAGTGTTTCACAATTTTTATTTTTATTTTTTTAACTGAAAGCATTACCTGCATAAAGTAGAATACCTTAAATACTTACCCGAGGTCCTGTATCGATCCAGTGTTGTGCAGGTCTGCAGCAGCGCTGGTCTGTTCCTGGTCTGACGGGACATATTGATAGCAGCGGGAGCCTGTAGGTCAGTCAAATCCGGTGAGGAGGAGGGGGGTGGCCTGCACCATGCAGTGTGTCTATAGGACAAATATTATTATTATTATTATACAGTATTTAGCGCCAAAAGGTCTGATCAGTGCTGTACATTATAGTGGGGGAAAGAACATGAGACAATACAGTAACAAAACAATACGCAAGGGGTTCGAGGGCCCTGCTCCTTGGAGCTTACAATCTAGGAGGGAGGGGATAGTGGTAAAGGAGGAAGTGGCTGTGGGGGGGATGGAGTGGTAGGAGGAGTGGAGGAGATCGGGCAATCGGAAGCCAGTGGAGGGAATGACAGAGGGGGGTGGCAGAAGCGGAGCGGTTGGTAAGGTGGATGAGTCTGGCCGCTGAGTTCAGGATAGACTCAAGCGGGGATAGCCTGTGTTGGGGTAGGCCGGTGAGAAGGGAGTTGCAGTAGTCCAGACGTGAGATAATGAGGGAGTGAGCGAGTTGTTTAGTAGTGTCTGGGGTTAGGAACGTACATATTTTGGAGATGTTGCGGAGGTGGAAACTGCATGAGTTATACAGAATACAGCCCTCACACTGCTGCCCATGCAGATATCAAACCGTAGTTATTATTATTATACAGTATTTATAAAGCGCCAATGGTTCGCTCAGCGCTGTACATTACAAAGGGGGACAGAACAATACAATAAAATGCAAAACATGAGGGGATCGAGGGCCCTGCTCTTTTGAGCTTACAATCTATGAGATAGAGTCCCTGTCCGATTAATATGACATTTTGACTGTTTTGATATAGCACCACATTTGCTGTACTGTCTACTCTGTATTCTGTATAACTTGAATGATAGCTACATTAAGGCTGAATTTGTTTAGGAGTGTTTTTTTTTTTTTTTTTCTCTCCCCGTTCTTTCTTTCTTTTTTTTTTGTCTACCCCTTTTGGAGTGTGTGCTCTTCTTTCTTTGTATATTGTACAAAAACTCAACATATCTTTAAAAAAAAGAAAAATCTGTATTTGCTTTCATTGTGATCAGGGGTTTCTAAATAAGGGGCCATTTGACTGTACTTCAAACTTTTGGGGGTCTGGAGTGGCTGGTGGCAGTAGAAACTGCCCCAGCATCAGTGAAAGTAAAAAAAAAAAAAAAAAATTACCTAGTGCCCAAAGTCAGTAGAAGGAATAATAGTAGCTGCTTCATTGGTACTAATTGGAGGAATAGTGCCTAATTGTTTATTAGTGGGAGGAATTATGCTTCATAGTTGGTTTTAGTGGGAGGAATAGTACCCCATCATTGGTGTCAGTAGATGGTTAAATCATGCCATTGTTGGTCTCCCCAATGGTTCCCCACGGTTAGTGCCAGTGGAAGGAATGGTGCCTCCTTGTTGGTGTCAGTGGGAGGAATAGTGCCCCAAGGGCTGGATAAAGGCAATCAGAGGCTCACTGACCACCAATTTGGAGACCACTTATTTAGATTGAGAGCCTGGCAGTGCTTTGGTTTCTATACTTTGAGCCACTGACCCAAAGCAGGTATATAGAGGAGGACAGACTCTTCTTATTTGCAGCCTGTTCATTCTGTGTGACTCGGAAGTGCTGCATCTAGACACTGCCACCTAACTACCATTTTCACCAGGCCAGAAGTGTCAGCCTTTTCAATTCAGAGCAAAGTAACTGGTTCTCTTGATAAAAAACCTCCCCTTCTCCCAATGATAAATCTGCTCTGCTGCTCTATTCCCTCATCGGAAGGATCCCTGTCTATGCTCTCTGTTGGATATTGTTGAAACTTACACTCGAATAGGGAAGAGGCGGTAGGCATTAATCAACTGTGTTCAGGCCTTGTGGTTGGCTGCTTAGGTGTGAGCACTGCATCCTGGGAGTTGGTCACATGCTTTAAAATATCTAGGCAGTAATATAGGGAGGGCTTTGATAAGAGTAGTGGTGGGCTGAGGGTTTCAGCAGAGGTGGGGAGGTTTTTTTCAGAGGACAAAATAATTTCTCTTTGGAGAGGTGTAACCGGTGTAGTTGCATATGGTCTACACAGGTGTTGGTTTTATAGGTTTTTAGTTTGTATGAAACAGGTAAGTTTGCCAACATATGGAAGATGAAAAGCCTTTTTTTTGTTTTTCTTGTAGAATCGACGTACTGTAGTTCCAGTTAACAAGGAAACTCCTGCAAGAGACAATAGAGGTAAGGTTACCAGAGCTCAATGCCTTTCAAAGTGACATCATTTTGCCATCTGTTACCTGACTATACTAACTCCTCTGTTTTTAGGAAGAGCCAGATTTCTTTGTCATTCAAATGCTTATAGCTGTCCATTGAAAAAAGACTGAATGTGAATTTTCTAACATACCAGATAATGTTTTTTTTTTTTTTTTTTTAAATGTGTTGCAGTAGTAAATTCAATATTTTTTGTTGTATGGTTCAGTACAGTCTATGACTTCAGAACTTGCAAGTTAGATGGGCAGGGTGGAAGCAGAATGTTCAGTGTATAGTCCTGTAGTAAACTAGTTAAAGCAGGACCAGCAAGCTGTTATCTATGGAAGCTTTCTTTTGTAAGACCCTGTTTACATTTGTGGTACTCGCTGAAGCGTTCAATGAAAATGGTGACAGGGATCATTTTTGCCGTGCTGTGATGCTGTGTATATGCCTTTTGTAAGGTGCAACGAGTGGGGGGGAGGGGCAGTAAAAACATGGCATTGCCATGTAGTTTTACTGCCCCTCAGCTCCTACTGTAAATGAGGTCTAAGGCAGGCCACAGATGCCGCAATTTTCTTTTATGCACCCTGGGTTGCTGGAAAGAAAGTCGCTTGATTCCCCCATCCACACAGTCAGTGTTGGTGGGGAATCCCTCTCACTGAGCTATTGTGTTCTCCTGGCTAGGGTACAGGGAGGCATCTCTACCGAGTGAACAGTGATTATTGCTAGCCGCTATAGCCGCTGGCATCACATATAAAAAATCTAGAAATTCTGAAGGACCCTCTGCACACTGGTATATACCCTTTCAAGCAGACTATGCAATAAATAGGGATATTTAGTTCACACATATTGCAATACATGCTTAAGCTGGCCAACTGCGTCAAAGTAATCCCTCTATGGCCAGTCCTACTCTGCCCTGCCTACACAAATGCTACTGTGGACACAATGCTAGCATAGGGGAAAAGACACAATGGGGAGAGCTACAAGGTTCAGGTCTGGCTACTGACCCAACAATACAACAAACAGGAGATCCCTGTGCTCAAATCCCAACAGCTAGTGCATGCATTTATCCATCAGGTGCTTAAGGGGTGTAACCACATGTTAACACTAGAAATTCTGAAGGACCCTCTGCACACTGGTATATACCCTATATAAAAAATCTGACAGGCTGGTTGTACCCCAGTCAATCGATGGATCGACTTTGGTACCGTCAGCCTGCCCATAGATGGTTCGAATCTTGGCCAATCCCTGCAGAACTGGCCGGCTTAAGGCAGTTGACCGAAAGTTTGGGCCAAATCCATTCAGTTCTGCAGGAAATTAATGTAGAACCTATGGGATGTGGTAATTAAGGCAAACTCCATCCAAAATTAGTATTTCAATGTTGGTTAGACACTGGTGGGTTTAATCACTTCAGGTTTATCCATATACAGTCTACCCAACCCACAGGACCCTAATGAAAGCATCACTCTATCAAATACACAAATATGTGTTCCTTACTGTCTGCCATTCAACTTATCTGAGCAAGCTGTTAACCACTGCTGTCTTAGAATTACAATCCAGGAATAACTACCATCCAGATCCCACGCACACAAAGTGTTGATATAGGGCAATTGGTGCATGACCCCCCAAAATATTCTAGTTATTAAATCTTGATAGACCCTTTTATTGTGACAAGTAAACATTCATAACTAGACTAATGTCTTTGGCATGGTGCTGTGATTCTTTTATTCCATACAAGCCGATTCTTCCAGAGACCCCATTGAGGCTTCACCTGACATTAGAGAGCTTCTGTACTTTACCAATCATTTGATTTATTCGGATCGTTCACCAAGCTTGACGTCCAGAGTCCTTCCATCCTAATTGTAGAGCACCCTTAAATTGGACTGATTTAACTTTCTTTCAGTGTTATAGTACAGCAGTGTGGAGATAATGCTTTGCATTTCAAAGTTTTTGTGGCCTTTTTCAGAACCTGCTCTTTTCTGCATATTTGTATTGGCTGTTAAGGCCATCCATCATGCAGATGGTCCAATAAGAAAGTGCAAGATGAGAAAACCAAGTGCTTAAAGCTGAACTGTAGGCAGAATATACAACCCCGTGTATAAACAGTGCCTTTCCTTATGGGAGTCTTACTTTTTGTTTCCATCAGCCAGTAGCATAAAGAGTAGAAATCCCTCTGACCTCCCTTAGTTTGATAGTCTCAGTGCAGTGATTTCCATTTTACATAGCTGGTCAGTTTTTCCTGTTCTCTTAATTAGGCAACAGATCCTGTGACAGCACATTAATAGTAGTTTTCCCTCCCCTGTCCTCCATACTTTTCACTTTAAAAACATCTTTATTCAGATAAAAAATCAATTGCAATGTACATCATAAAACCATTACACAGGATGGGGTAAACGATTAGGCCAAGTATACAAAATTGTAGGTTATCTCCTACTAATGGCCTCCATACTTTTACAATAGCTGTAGAGGATGGATCTGTTCAGCTACTCCTTCCCACAATAATATACCCATTGCTGCCCATCCTTGGTCACAGACTGATGGGCATTTTAGCTCAAAGTAAACCGGTCAGTGCTGTGCCTTGCAGACATAAAAAGCAGTGGTCTTAGGTGCAATTAAGATGATTTTTACTACAACGGGACAAGTTTAGGTTTTTCTGGTTATGAGCTATGCAAATGTAGTCCTGTGTGGTACAAATCAAAAGTGATGCGTGGTGCAACACAGGATCCTCCTCCCTGCTCCCAGGCACAGCAAGGTTTTTGACAGATGATAGTGACATCATTGGTAATTAAACTTCCTTTTGCAGTTAAATAAGTGTCTTTTAATTTAAAAAAAAAAAAGGGGGTATGGATCACAATTTTGATCCTTTAGTTCAGCTTTAACACGGTCAAGCGAAGTGTGCTTGTTATAGAATATTGGGATTTGAAGAAACCTCTTACAGTCACCAGTTGGTGAAGGGTTTTAAAGGAGAACCCATTAAAGTGAATCTTGGTGTACACCCCAGAGAACAATAAAAGAAAATATAGCCATGTTCCATATGCTCATATATTTTTAATTGATATACAGTATTTTAAAATAGCTTCACTTTATTTCCTTAAATTATTCAGCAATTTTCTCTGATTCCAGTGTTATGTAGGTTGTAGCACAACAGAAGCAAAACCCCTCAAGCTGCCCCCAACATGGTTTATCCACTAAGGCTGCTGAGAGCTGTATTGCGCATACTTGGTGGATAATCATAACAATGGATGCCAAATCAGCATAGTGTAAAGAAATGAGGGAAGGGCTGTCGAAACAAAGAAAATGGAAGTTTTTTATAGAGCAGAAAAAAAAGCAAATAAAACCTTTCCAGAGACCAATCAAATTTGCCCTTGCTTACCTCTTCCTGAAAATTCTAGCTGCATGGCTCCTATGGTGGTCACCTGGCACTTACCTGAAACAGGCATGCCATAAGTACCTCCTAAAGCACATCAGAAACTCAAAAAATATTGAAATCACAGATTTTTAAAGCCGCAAGCAGCATTTTGAGAAGGTCAGTAATGGCAACTATCCTCTTTCTGTCATGGCTTGGGCTTGTTCACATTATAGCGCTTGCGGTTTTTTCTTGTGCATTGCAGTGCGTTTTACAAGCCTTTTTAAAATTTATTTTTTAAGCCCAACTCGGGGTTACTGTACCCCCACCCCTCCCAGAACTTCAATGTTGTCCTTGTTTGTCAAGTGTGCCCAGGACTGCAGCTAAGCTATCCTGCTTTAGACATGCATACACTTATTGGATGTATAGAGTAAAATTTATAAATTGATGACTTTCTGTATGTGGTTCTTAGGTCCATATTTTTATTTTTTGTGGTTTATAGAAGGCATAGACCATGCAAAGCTTAGTTTCAGCTGACCTCCCACCTTTTTATTACAATGCTGTTATTTTCACCTGCTCTGCATTAGTCTAATGTATCTTTATTTTTTTGCAGCAATCGGTTCAGCCCGGTCACGGCCAAGCCAGCCAGTAGAACCACCAGCCTCCGCACAGCAGAATGGTAGTGTTTCAGATATATCTCCAGATCAACCTGGAAAAAAGGACTTTGGCCCTCCTTGTATGTAACATATGTCTAGGATTGCTTCATATTCTATGTGCACCTTCATAATAGAAATCATGAGCACCCAGTTCTAGACCATCTTACATAGCAATTTCATGGTTGTACATATGAAGCATCTGCACCTTTCCTTCATTGTGAGCTACACGATCCTCATTTCCTGCTTTTAGTGACATTACAGCACAGATAACATACCCATCAGTATAATGGCTGATTCATTTGCATGCAAAATATTGGGTCACACTTTCATTTCAGTCCAGATGGTTTGTTGGCGACTTTAACTGGTATGTGCATTGGTATGTCTCATCAAGTGAATGGATTCTGGACATCAGTGAAATGGTGTACATGGTTTCGATTTCACTCTGACCACTTTTTCACTTTTTTTATTTTAAATCCCCACTGTTCTTGGTTAAAAATTGGAAGTGTACCTGCAAATAAGTTACACACATAATGATGTTTCTTGGTTCCTCCAGTGTTGATGGCTTGTTTTAAATTGCCGTTTTTAGACTTAAAGCGGAGCTCCACTCAAAAGGGGAAGTTCCGCTTTAAGGACTGCTCCCCATTAAGGATTGGCTCTGGCACCTCTGGGGGGCAGGGGAGAGCGGTTACCTGAATTTGACAGGTACCTGCTTCCACTTCTGGTCCAATCGCCTAGGTGACCGAAAGCAGAAGGTGTCCTCCATCCCTCCCTCCCTGTAGTCTTTTGGAACACGTGACAGGTCCCAGAAGACTACAAAACCATGAAGCGCAGCGCTACTCGTGCATACGCAGTGGGTACCCAGCTGTGAAGCCACAAGCTGTCACAGCCAGGTGCCCACACTGAAGATGCCATTTCCTGGAATACAGGATGGCCAGTGAAATGGACTGCGGGGAACACACCGTGGGACCGGGGGACAGGTAAGTGGCTGTTTTTTTTAAAAGTCGGCAGCTACAGTTTTTGTAGCTGCTGACTTTTAGTTTTTGACAGCATGAGTGGAACTCCGCTTTAACAGAAAGCAGATGTGACAATGCCACACTGCACCTGCATTTTACATTTGTAGGTGCAAACCTGCAAAACACGGCAGAGATTGTTCTGTGATTGGAGAAAAGCCCAGGCACATTACCTTGACCTGGCTTTCCTTCTGGCCTTTTTTTTCCCCATTTACAAAAATTAAAAAGCAAGCAAAGTTGGGGCACATTTGCAAAGCACAGTTAGAAACGTGCTGTTTTTTTTTTTTTTAACTTAAAGCAGAGGAATGGATGAGAATGCTTTACTGCTGTTTTATAAATGGGTCTCGTAGTGTTGTGTCTTCATACTTTGTACATTAACATGGTAGCCTTAGGTTGCTAGGTTAGTAAAGAACTGGATTTGACGGATGCGGTTATGTAAATACGGTACATACAGTAAAACTATAGTTGTGCCTAAATCTTTAACATTATAATCTCGTATTGTCATTGAATCATGCTTTAAAATGGGTAGGGGGGTATAAGTTAAAGTGAGCTTGAATAGTGCTTAGATGTTGATGATCAAATTATTGGTAAGACTTCAAAAAGTGACAATTGGCCATAAACAAGATGGAGGTGCTGAAGATCAGAAGATTTGGGAAGGATCAGCTTAGGGGAAAATAGTGCTGGACTCTGAGTTTGCAGCTATCTTTTTAAAGGATAAGTACACTTAAAAAATTATAAATAAATAAATGCACTTTTTTTTCTCCTTTTGCTGGTAAAATAAAAGTGAATTAATGACGCAGCCGTGTAGGTGGATCCCCGTGCGTCAGCCCCGATTTTTCAAAAACTGACTGCTATTATGGGGAACTTCTCCCTGTACGGTTGTCACAGGGAGGGGGGGAATCGGGCAGCGGCTGCAGGAGTGCGACCATGTTACATGTTCCCAAAGGTCAACTTATCCTTTAAGTCAGCAGCTATAGCGTTTGTAGCTGCTGACTTTTATTTTTGCCGTAGCCAGATGAAGTGCCTCTTTACAGCAAAGACAGTGTTCTTTGTCTACCTTATTTTCTCTTCCTCTCCATTCTTCTTATGGTGGCCATTTTCACTAAGGCAGATGAATCCATCTCTTTACTTTTTGAACTCTTGGTCTGCCTTCTGGAACATGTGACAGTACACCTCATCTGAGGAGTAAGTCACTGGTGATGTAGCTTTCTCACTCATCCAACAAATGGTAAAAGTTATTGGAAGTTAAAGCAAAGAATGTTTAACTAAAGAATGTAAGATGATTTTATATTGGCATGCGGCTCATATGGATGTCAATATGATTTTTAATGAAAGAGGGGGGAAGGTGCTCGTTAAAGATTCCCCCAGATTAGGAGATGTCCATTCAGAAATACTCCAGTTTTTTTTTTCTTCTTTTTAATGGCAAAGTAATTTAGGTGTCTAAATATAACTAATTGCATACAGTATTTGTATTCTGAATCTAGGAACTTTAATATGAAAACCAGCTAATCTAGACCAGATCTTTCTCCTTCCTGCTGTATTATGACTGGAAGTCAGTGAAAGTCCTGTCTTTTCTGGACCCTGGCCATATCCATGACAGGCATGTTTGATTTCTAGCTGCCGCCTTTTACTCTCCTTTTTGCAAGTGTGGGCTGCTCAGCACACATCTACACACTTGAATACTGTTCCTCAGATGCCCAGACCTAAAGGGTATATTGTGTTAAATGACTAGATGCACAAGCTTAATAAAGCATTTGCTTTGCTTCTTGCTTGGAATAGTACCATCATCGCCTGCCGTGCTTTTATACTGCAGTATTCTTTACCTGTTTGGGCCCCCTTCCCCTGTGCTTTAAGACTCTGGGTGTTTTCCCATCTATCTCAATGTAGGCTTTTCAGATCATGGCAGTAAAGTAAAAATATATTTGAGCATTATCTTCTCTGCTACAGCATGTGTTAAAGGCTGGGTGTGTATTTAAGGCCGAACTTTACCACTAGCAGCTTGATAACAATGTACTTTAATTTAGGAACATACATTGCACCTTTTAATAATCATGCTAACAGATTAGTGTGTGCTGTAAATTGCCTCCAGCATTGCCCCTGTTTCCTCTTGCTGGTGACTGCCATTTTATTCAACTTCAAAGCAGTCACTTCCTTATCGAGTACTCGCCCTCTCTCCTTGGTATCCAAAAACTGTGCCATGTTCTGACCTTGAAATTTGTGCTTTTCCTGCCTTGGTTGTATGTCTTGGCTCAGCTAGAGAGGAAGGTTGACAGAAACTTTACAGTGCTGAAGTTCACAAGCTGCTAGGGGTAAAGAAGAGCAGGTCATTGAGATAAGACACTATCCTTTGTAAGTTTACCTTGTTGTGGATTTCCCTGGCAACAGAGCTTGCCCTGTCATCTCTGCTGATTTTTTTTTTTTCTTCTCCCTAATCTGTGTGCCTTTGGCAAAGTCATTCCTGTTGTATCCTCCTCTCTCAGCAGTAGTAAATCTTTAGGCTGTCAGGAGAGTGGCCTCTGCCAGGAATACAGGACAACTGAGGCTGTTTAGAGCAGCGGGAGATGGTGCCTTACTGTATTTTAAACATTATAGCCACTTATTTTTAATGTTTTGCATAGCTATTTCTGCTTAAGGTGCCAGAATAAAGTGATCTAACAGGACTTAATATTTTATATTTTAATATATTAATATTTTGACTAAAGTTCCACTTTAAAGAGGCCCTATATTTATGTACCCTAGTGTGTAATTCCTAATTAGAAGCTGACTTTTGTGACATACCTAGGCACCATTTGTTCTTCAAATTTAAAAAAGCCAGTCAGGTGTTTTTATATGCAATACCCACACACTCTATATTTTGATTACTGTATTACATTGATTGTGTCATCAGGGGTGAGGTCTATAGAAATTGACTGTGCAGTGGATGGAAAGGTGGTTCTGGGCAAAAAATGCAGCTGCAGAATGTTACAATTATATTCTACAGAATTCACAACTAACTTTCTCACTTTTTATGGGTGGGGGAATACCATGGTCTAGTCTAGTTTTACTTTTAACGTTAGCACTTTTCTCTCTGTCCCCAACAAGCAAGGAGAAAATCCAATTGTGTGAAAGAAGTGGAGAAGTTGCAGGAGAAGAGAGAGAGAAGAGACGATTGCAGCAGCAAGAACTCCGAGAGAAGAGGGCTCTGGTTTGTGAAACTTATTCTCATTGTGCTGTGACCTCTGATGTATGTGTGTCTTAACCTACACTTTTTAAGGTATTAATTTTTGTGTCATTTTCTCCATATTTTAGGATGTTGATGCCACAAATCCAAATTATGAAATAATGTGTATGATAAAAGATTTTAGAGGAAGTTTGGATTACCGGCCTTTAACTACATCAGATCCTGTAAGTTGTAGCCATTGGCTTTCACATTCTCTACTGAAGTTAGGTGAAAAAACATTTAAAATTTAAAGTGGAACTGAAGGCAGCAAATACTTTCCTCCAACTGTCCTTTCCCTCACTGGCGCAGGCATCTTCTCCTGTGTGCTGGTTTTCAGCCATCATCATTGGCTGTCATGTGATGACGTCACGCAAGCGCAGTTCAGTTTTCAGTTTTGGCAGACCTGCCTGCTCCCAGTGAATAACCGCAACACTTTAGTCAACATTTCTGTTGCCAGCGACTGGGGGTTGATTATTAAGAGCATTACCTCACTGTTGCAATTCTTTCTCACACTTCAAGCAAACCTGTCTTGGAACACAACTGCAGGCACATTTCTTTGCCTTCAAATACTGGTTGTAATATTCATACCAATTTCTATGCTCTTGGGAAATCTCTGGATCCTAGACAAATGCACACAGTACACAGGGTGTCCATTTTTGCCCAGCCTGACCCACTCCCAAATCGAAACTGGTCCCCCGAATTGTGTCATGGCGATGACTGTAATAGGTAGATACTATATACTAGTATATACTGGGGTTGGACAAAAATATGGACACACTACATGATTTGCAAGTGTGAAAGTTATGACATGTTTTGCGTTGAAAGCGGAAGTGATGTAAAATTCTTTTGCTTCCGCTGTGCGATGAGACACCTAGCTAACAGGTGGGAAGCCTCACTTTCATCATTCACTGTGAGCTTTGCTAGTAATACGGAGTCATGTCAGAGCTTATTGAGCTTCACAGAGGACAAATTGTTGGTGCCTCTGTGACTGAAGTTGCCAATTTATTTGCCGTGTCGCGAGGTACAGTATCAAAGGTTATGATGGCATATACAGTTTCTGGGGAAAACGTCCGATAAGCATAAGCACAGTCGACATGGTCAACTGACCAAGAGACATTGCAAGAAAACAACTGCTGCAGAAGTGACTGCAGAGCTCAATCTCAGTCTTCCAAGGCCCGTGTACACCAAAACTGCAGAGGGAACTTAAAAAGCAAAACATTTACGGGTAAGCTGCAATTTCCAGAGCACTAGTGACCGATATTAATGCTCAGAAGAGGAGATAGTGGTACACAACCTATAAATCGTGGATGGTCAATCAGTGGAAGAATGTAATATGCTCCAATGAATCAAGCTTCACACTGTTCCCAACCACTGGATGTGTTTGCATGTGGCGAACACTGTCCCAAGTTTACGACCAGGAGGGTCTTTTGCCACTGGTAAAGCATGGTGACGGCACAATTATGGTTTGGGCAGCCATATCTTGTATTCTGCAGGCCCCATCGTCACCTTGAAAGGTAGAATCACTACCAGCGACTATGTACAAATGTAGGCTGACCATGCGCACCCCATGGTGCAGACATTTGTTTTCCGAAGACAGCACCATTTACCAAAACGATAATGCTCCGATTCACACAGCTTGTGTTGTCAAATCGTGGTTTGTTGATCAGGCAAGTGAAATCTGTCACCTTCCCTGGGCACTGCAGTTGCCAGACCTGAAAATCATAGAGCCACTATAATTGATTTTGGAGAACAAGGTTCGGGCTTGTTTTGTGCCTCTGGCATTTCTGTGAGGACGGAAAGCTTTTCGTATGAGGAGTGGTATCATATTCCATTACCCACCATACAAGAATTTTAATTTTTTTTTCAATTCCTAGAAGAATTTAGGTTGTCTTGGATGCCAAGGGGGGTCCAACACCATATTTATGTAACAATTTAGTTCTTTTACCTGGTTTTTCCATATTTTTGTCCAATCCCTGTATATACTGTATAGGAAGTATTATATAAAAACATGCTTTCTGTGTTCATGTAGGTACTCTGATTAACAAGGGGTTGATTCATATTGATAAAAAAAATGAATATTTTAAGAGCAATCAAATGCCTATAAATATACCCTTCATCTGCTTAACTTTGAGTTGCTTGAATCCCTCATATTATGTGCAGATATTTGGCCACCTAAGGAGTAAATCATTTTTCTCAAATAAATTTTACTATTGTGAAAATTAGTTTGGCGAGTTGATCTGTTAAATGAAGATTTTTCATGCTTGTATTTCTAACAGATTGATGAGCATCGGATATGTGTTTGTGTAAGGAAACGTCCGCTAAATAAGAAAGGTAAAGAAAGTGTCATATGAACAAACAAATATATTGCTCACTGAGAAGTCATTATTTTGTAGTCCGCACTGAAAAAAATACAGCAGGAATCTGACTCCACAAAACTTAAAGCAGTATTAAACCCAAAAGCAAACCTTTATTATATTTCAGGTTACCAATTCTTAGATATGATGGCTGTATTAGTTTTCTTTTTTAGGCTTGCTTGTTTCTATTTTCATCTGGTGATCCAGCCAGCAAATCTCTTGCAGTTACTGGGTTAAGACAGACAGTTTAACACTGGAAGAGATGCTTAAAATGATCAGCTGTTTTTATTTATATAAAATCTTCATCCTAAAAAGAAAAACACTTAAATCTGCTAATGTATATAACATTCCCCTCTACCCAGAATGACGGTGCTGCTGTCTACTGTGCCCCCTGTGCTCATTCATCCATGGTGTCTATAAGACGGGATGTGTGTTACTGGCCATATCACCAGGGAAAAACAGGGATCCTCACCTGCATGTCATATTAGGACGTAGCTGCTGCGTAAATGAATGGCACACTGGCACGGAGATGCAAGCAATACCTGTGCAACCCTGTGCCTGGGAAAACTAAGGCCTGCACAGGGCCTGCAGCAAAGCGCCCCATGTAAATGGACCCTAAGTTTTTCATTTAGAAATGTTGCTTTTAAAATGTAATTGTTGTATATTTGCTTTTCAGAGAACACAGTGAAAGACCTAGATGTCATTACAATTCCTAGTAAAGATGTAGTAATGGTACATGAGCCCAAACAGAAGGTGGATCTCACTAGATTTTTAGAAAACCAAACTTTTCGTTTTGACTATGCCTTTGATGAAACTGCACCAAATGAAATGGTCTACAGGTATGTAAGTCATATACCTACAGTGTGGTTTTTTTGTTTTATTTTTTTTTAATCTGTCTGTCCAGAGTTTTGTGTTGAGAAAGGATATATGGTTTAGTGAGGTAAAGTACTGTGCAAAAGTCTTGGGTGTGAAAAAATGCTGTAAATGAAGAATGCATTCAGAAATAGTGTTGATATGGTGGGTTTGTTTTTTTTTTTATCAATTAAAATAGAAAGGGAACAGAAGAGAAATCCAAATCAAACCAATATTTAGTGTGACCACCCTTTGCCTTAAATTATTTCACTCAATTTTTGAAGGAACTTGGCAAGTAGGTTGTTTTCCAACATCTTGGAGAACTAACCACAGATCTTCTGTGAATGTAGGCTGTCTCAAATCCTTCTATATCTTCATGTAATCCCAGATATACTGGAGTTGAGATCAGGACTCTGTGGGGGCCGAATCATCACTTCCAGGGCTTCTTGTTCTTCTTTGCAGTGAAGATAGTTCTTATTGATATTGGCTCTATGTTTGGGGACGTTGTCCTGCTGCAGAATAAATTTGAGACCAGTCACACACTATACTGATGCTTTGGCATGATGGATAAATATCTGCTTGTGTTTCTCAGCATTAAGGACACCATTGATCCTGACCAAATCTCCAACTTTATTTGCAGAAATGCATCCCCAAACATGCAAGGTACCCCCGTCATGCTTCACTGTTGCCTGCAGACATTCATTTTTGTACCTCTTTTCAACCCTTTGTACACAAACTGCCTTCTGCTTCAGCCCGATATTTCAAATTTTGAATCATCAGTCCAGAGAACCTGATGCAATCTTTCTGCACCCCAGTTCCTATCTTTTCTTGCATAGTTGAGTCACTTAGCCTTGTTTCCATGTCCTATGCACAGAAACATGGGTGGTTAGTTCTCCGAGATGTTTAGCGCAACCTGCCTGCCAAGTTCCTTCCAGAAACTGTGTGCAAGTGTACCTAGAAGAATTGAAGAAATGAGGTTGTTTTGAAGGCAAAGAGTGGTCACACCAAATATTGTTTTGATTTGGATTTCTCTGCTGTTCCTTTTACTTTCCATTTTGTTGATAAAAATAAACTATGAACATTTCTATTTCTGAATGCATTCTTAATGTACAGCATTTTTCACACTTGATTAAAACTTTTGCAGAGTACTGTTGATATAGTCTGTTGGAATCTACAAAAGCAAACAAAAATGTTATGTATGCTGTAAAGGTTCGCTTAATAATCACAGCTGAAATAAATGATCCAGTGTTAGGCACCTTATTGTAGGAAGGCATGGGAGTTTTGAAAAAAAAAAAAAAAACAGTCAAAGCTGAACTCATAGCAGATATAAAATAAATATGCATAAACTTATTTTAATTTTATTTTTATTTGGACTTCTTTCAGACAGGCGGCAATACTTACTGCCCTGATCCACAGTGAATTGTTTTTCAGAGGGCAATATAGCAACAGTTAGCAAGCGTTCAGGAGACAATCCTGCTTCTTTCAGAGTGTTTGGTTCTTTTTTTTTTTTTCCTAAAAACAATTCTATGCCCTTTTTGGAGACCCTATTTTCCATGTGTCTTACAAAACAGGAATCTGCAAAGCAGGGACACAGTGTGGTAGCAATATAAATCTGTTAGTATAAGGAATGGTTATAATCTTTATTGAAATCTTTGTCAAAACTTTGGTCTATTTTAAGTTGTGGCTCAACAGTTCTGCACCCATATTATCTCATCAGAGACCATCAGAAAAGAGTTCAGCAAATTTTTTTATGGTATTTTGTGCTGCTGTCATTCTCTTCTTACCTTCTTTTCTTTCTGTTTAGTTAGATAACTTTGAATTATATTCATAAAAGTGACACTATTAGAAATGTTGTTTGTCTGATTATAAAGATGTGTAAAAATTTGTACCTTTTTGACTGTTAACATACATACACAAAATAGCAGGAGCACTGCCTCAATGTATGTTATGTGACATCAAAAACATGCTTAAATAATGAACACATGACAATAAATAGTGAAATAAGGTCCCAAATTTGAAATAAAGTGAACAAAAATCCTTTTCCTATTTTACCTATGGTGAAATAAGAGTCTTTCTCGCTTTTGGTGGGGCATAGGAAGTCATTCTGGAGCTTGTAGTCGTCCTGATTAAATTTTGCTTGTCATTCCTAGTGATTCAAATGTAGAGCCGATAGATATATACATGTAAGGAATGGAAAGAGGCATCCAAAATTGTTTTATTAGTAAAATCAGACACACTAGTATTGCACTCACATGTTTCCAGATACAATTGGCATGAATCTCCAAGTGTACAATAGTATGTCGCTAGTATTCCACAAAGCTCCTAAGCTTAGTATCACCACGTCAGTGCCTGATGCATTTCGCCCCTCCCACTGGGCGTCCTCAGATGCATAGGTCCGTGGTGATAGGTGAATACATTTATATGACAAATCTCCGCCTCCTACACCCAGTCCGTGTGTAGTTTGGCCAAATATATAGCGTCGGCCATCTTGGTACCCCCAACAGGAAACTGGAAGTGTCTGAGGACTGGAAGTCAGTTCTCTGCCATCTTGGTACTCTCTCCGATATACAATGCAGTAGATAAACTGCTGCATTATGTGGACAGGGGAACTTGCAAAATAAACATTTAAGTAACGCAAATAACATTGTATAACACACTAAGATGTATTGCCCATACGCATAATGCTGTTCCTGCAAGGACATCCGCTAAGCGCTATAACATAATAATGAAAATAATGGTGGAGCCCCCTGCTGTTAAAAAGAGGTCATAGCATCACCTGCTAAGCTCAATATGCACCAAATACCTGAAACAGTGTGTGCAATAAATAACTAAACATAAAATATAAACACTGAATGTAGACCATAATATAAAATATATTAAGCTAGATGAAACTAAAAATTAGTAATAAAACAATTGACATCCATGTCGAAGCCCCTAGGATCTAAAGCGTTCAAATGGTAAATCCACTGGAATTCATTTCTCGAGATGGCTTGCCTCATGTTGGTCCCACGCCAATGTTTCTCAACCCTATCTATGTCACAAAATTTAATTGACGTAGGATCCTTTTTTTGGAGTGTTCTAAAATGATTGGATAGGCTTTGATAGAGAGAGCCCTTTTTGATATTGCTAACATGTTCTCTGAGTCTGACCCCGAATTCCCTAGTGGTTCTACCAACATATTGTAGTCCGCAGCTACATTCAAGGAGATAAGTAACATGCGTTGTGCATGGAATAAACTTTTTCATATCTCCTACCTGAGATATTGGATTGAAAATGGGTGATCTTTCTATGGCCCTGCTTGCAGGTTCTACATATAACACATTTGCCACATTTGTAGAAAACCTTTTGGTCCGAAAAGGTGATCCTTTTCGTAGGTGGATTGGGGACACTTCACTATGATATCTCTCAATGTGGGTTATAAACAACCTGTGGGCATTTAGGGAGAACCTTGGCTAATATATGGTCCTTTATCAAAATAGGCCAGTGCTTATTTAATGCCCTTTAAATTTGTTTATACTGTCTGTTATACATAGTACAGAAGGTCATGCTATAATCTGTTTTGTTTCTTGGAAGTTTTTAATAGTTCTCCTCTATCCATCTTTTTGACCCCTTCCTTAATTTTTTTAAAGCTCAGATTTTTTTGTACCCTTTATCTAAATCTATCGATTAAAATATCTACCTGCATCTCAAAGTCTGCTGCTAGATAACAATTTCTCTTGATTCTCATCTTCTGACCTTTGGGAATAGCACCCAACCAACTGGGGTAATGTCCACTATTTGTAGGGATATGGCCGTTTCAGTCCTTGGCTTTAAAGAAAGTATGGGTATAAAATTTATCTCACAATTTCCAAATCCAAATAATTAACCACTTGAGCTCCTGAGGATTTACCCCCCTTAATGACCAGGCCTCTTTTTGCTACTTGGCGCTGCACTAATTCAACTGATAATTGCGCGGTGATGCAATGCTGCACCCAAACGAAATTTACGTCCTTTTTTTCACACAAATAGAGCTTTCTTTCGGTGGTATTTGATCATCTGTGCGCTTTTTATTTTTCACGCTATAAACAAAAAAAAGGCCAAAAATTTTGAAGAAAAACAATATTTTTTATTTTCAGCTATAAAAAATATATAGTAAACTCAAAGTTGGTTATAAATTTAGGCCAAAATGTATTCTGCTACATGTTTTTAGTAAAAAAAATCCCAATAAGTGTATATTGATTGCTTTTTGTGGAAGTTATAGCGTCTACAAACTATGGTATAAATACTGCAATTTACGCCATTTTTCTGCTATACAGCGCTGCGCTAGTTTAACGGACAATTGTGCGGTCATGCAATATGGTACATAAATGAAATTTACATCCTTTTTTTTCCCACAAATTGTTCTTTCTTTCGGTGGTATTTAATCGCCTGTGCGGTTTTTTATTTTTTGCGCTATCAAAAAAAAAAAGGCTGACAATTTTGAGGAAATAAAACCAATATTTTGGACTTTTTGCTATAAAACATGTCCAGTAAAAAAAAAATGCAAAAATCAAATTTAGTCTTTGCTAAAAAAAAAACCCCAATACGTGTAAATTAATTGGTTTACGTGAAAGTTATTGCGTTTACAAATGGCGGGAAAGATACTGGGATTTTTAGGGGTTTTTTTATACTGATAATGGCGGCGATCAGCGAATTATGGCGGCGATCAGGGACTTATGGCAGCGACCAGCGACTTATGGCGGGACTGCGGCGGACATTTTGACATTGGGGGGTACTGACTTGGGGTCACTGACATCCCCAAAAACACTAATACAGTGATCAGTGCAAAAAAAAAAAAAAAACTGACACTGTACTAATGGCAATGGGGAGGAAGGGGTTAACTTTATTTAGCAGGGAAGGGTTATAGGAGTGAGGAGAGTGTTTTACTAGGGGGCGGGGGTGTGTGCTGGGCGGGACAAGGCTGATCGAGAAAGAAAAACTGTTCTTTCTCGATCAGCTCATCCTCGAG